ATAATTCAATTGGTTTCCCAGTGGGGGAAATGTATTTATTTATTTATTTATTTATTTATTTATTTATTTATTTATTTATTTATTTATTCATTCATTCATTCATTCATTTATTTAACACATTCATTGAGCAGTTACATTTGTTGTATTCTTTCAAAATTCACAACATTACAACAACAATGCTCAAATGGAGTAGGCTGAAGCAAAGAAGCTTATGTGCACCTACTCCACATTACAATATTATACTTTTTGACAATAAATGTTTTGTTAATGAACCTTTCATGCATATTTTGTTATTCATTTTCTATTTTGTACAGTTCTTTTATATAACAACACAGAATAAAACCAAGAAGCTTTTCCATCACATATTCTCAACATATTTCTCAATAACAGTCATCTTATATTGTCTTTGAAATAGTAGTAGACTAGCAGCACTCTGTAAGTTGTCATCTAAACCATTCCAAAGCTTAACACCTCTTCTGGATATGCAGTGAGTTTTGAGGGTTGTGCGGGTACATACCACCTTGCAATTATGTGATCCCCGCAAATCGTATCCACCCTCTATCGAAAAACAGCTGTGGAATATTGATTGGTAATTACATCACATTTAAATTTCCTTCAAGGTGTTCTAATTCAAAATTTTCAAATCACCTGTTGTTTCAAACCTGTGTGGTTATCTAAAAACCATTCCCAAGATTATCTTAATGTGTTTCCAAGGTTGTTAAATAGAATGAAGAGCAAAGCCTTCTGGGGATGCCCATATTACATTCTTATTGGTTTTAAAGGACTTTCCAGGGCCTTGTCACAACACGAAGCCCTTTCAACGCCAATCAAAAAAGTAGAATGCCATTTTAGCTTCACATCTCAAGGGTAAAAGGTCTGAAACCTTAACAGTAGTAGCAAATGGGATTTTGGGTCACGAAAGTTAACCAAAGCAGTTGGAGTCGAACAGCTGAAAGCATGGAAACGGTGTCGAGTCGTCCATCGCACGCTGGAGCCAAAGTTTAGTCAAATAGCTTGAAAAAGCTGATTCCAAGATCAACGTGAATAACTGTTCAGCTTGAAATGCCAGCAAGAGCAAAACCATCAGGAACTCTAACAGGAAAAGTTTCTACAGAGATAACAAACAAAACTCCCTCCTTTATGTGATCACAGTTGAATATATCCTCCAGCATTTTCATTTCTACTGATGACAAGGTGTAATTCAGTAGCTAGAATAAAGCAGAACTGCTCATTCCTGTGGAGAAACACACTTTCTTAAGCAAATTGGTGATGCTTATGCCTTAATCTCACCCTAAAGGTAGCAATAGATGTCTCAGAAATGTGACACCCCCTTCAAGTGAAACAACTGGTACCAGCACTAATTGAAATTTTGCATGCAAAGTGACAATGCCTGGGCCCTCGGCAGCTTGGATTAGGGCTTGAATAGAGACAGATTCTTTGTGAAAGCCTACTGTGGTGGTTGGCGTGCAGGCCAGCCCCGTGCATCTGCTCACTGGGTGGACTGGGAAAACACTGGATTGTATATGGCCGCTCGTTTTACCTTTTAACTGACCCTGTTCCAGAAATCCCCCCCCCCCATGTGGATGTTCTTCGGTTTTTCTAACAAACATAACTTATGCCAATCGACACTCGCACAACCACTCATAACAAAATAACTGTAGTCACAAGCAGCTAGGACATTTACATATGAAAACATCGTCACTGAACTTGGCAGTGTTTAAAAAAGGTTAGAATCATACAGAGATAGTGAGAAAGTGGTACTGAGAGTCGTTCATCAATTCGTTCAAAGATAAAAATGCAAGTTTCTTCCAATACAGAACAACGACTCGGCTGGTGTTTGCGAACGTTTGTCTGACTCGTCCGTTTCTGAATAGAGCGCTGAAGGAATCTCATTCTACCCCACTTCTCCATTTTACTGTGGTTTCACTCCCATCATGTTTCCTTCAGAGAAAGGAACTAAATTCTTTCTTAAAGTGATTTATCATTGTAGTCCAACAAGCAACAATCACTTGGATAAAAGTCTCTATGAGGTTGTTGTTGCATCCCAGCTACACAAACTGTCCCAGAAAAACATTTGAGCATTACAAACATCTCCCCGGAAGGCAGGAGGGGTGGGCCGGACCGAAGAAGCCAAACAACCACGTAGTAAAACTTATCTCCACAAAACAATCCAGACCTCAGCTATTTTATTGCCCGGGAATGAATCTGAAATTTTCCACTCAACAGAATTAGATGAGCGCCGCTGTTGTTGGTAGGACCGCCAGCTCATCACTGATGACAATGAATGGGTGAGCTAATGAAGGGATAAATCCTCTGTGTGTTTTCATTGCCATGTTTGATAGAGCTGGGCTAATTTTCCTGGCAGTACTACATCCATTAATTTTCCAAAAGAGCTTGCCTGTTACTGTTGCCTAAACCAATAAGACATGGCATCAGCTTATATTAACGCTAATCAACAATCTAAAGTTGGTTGGAATTCCTCAGCGGACAAGCCTTTTAAAAACAAGTAAACGGAATTGATGAATGAAGTTAGTTTGCAGGCTGGAGTGGGAGCACAAAAGGAGACACTGAGGAAAATGGATTTCACCCCGAGCATCAGCGCTTTGGTGCTATCTTACTTTATTTGTTTCTGCATGTCGGTAAAGTTGACAAACCACATGTAAAAAAAATGGACACTTGGGGACACGGCTGGGGTTTTAAGTTCAGACACATTTTTTATCCCGTATTCCGCTCCAGCACGACCCTGCCTAAATCGTTAATTATTTGTATAACAAGTTGGCCTTTTAAATTTCCTCCACAGTAATTCGGTTTATTATAGATCCCAGTAATATGATTTCTAATGTGCTTCTTTTATTTTGCGTCGTGCTTTTTTATACCAAAGTTTTCCAAGAGTATTGAAAGCATGCTGTTTTATCAATGAATCTCTATTTATTGTTATTTACATAATGTTTGGGTAACCAGTAATAAAGTACACAAATGCATTTTTCACTGTTAAAATAACAACAACAAAAAAAAACATCTCTTTACAAAATGTGTCAAGGAAATCCACCGGAGGCCTCCTTTCTGTTGCATGCTGGGATAGTTTTTTTTTCTTCGTTCTTTTTTTGTGTGGATTAGAGCTGCGGTGACCTCTTTTTCAACTCTTTTTTTGTTTTTTATTTTTCTACGTAACGCGTCCCGGCAATTTCATTGGACAGTCGAGTAGGGTGAGATACTGCATAGAACGAGGCTGAACCGTATTCAGTGGGCGACCAGATTGGCCAGTTTTCCAGTCATCATTTGAGGTAGCGGCACTCAAAAAAATGCGTGCAATGTTTCTGCTGAGCATCAACATTATAGCAGGAAAAATTACTACAATCTCTTTTTGGGACACGTTTAAAAATGGATGATCAAAGTAAAAAATAATAGAAAAAAGTAGCAGAGCAGCAATAAAAAGTGGTCAATTCGAGCTTTTTTAACAGACGGAGTGGAAGTGGAAGTGGAATGGTGCTTAGTGTGAAATTGCTGTTATTCTTGGCAGATATCATATCCTGGGCTTTCCTTAAACTGGGACAGAATGCAAGGAAAATACTGAGCAGAAAAAAACAATTATTCCAACAGCAATGAAGCTGTAGTGTGGTGAGAACGTGAGTGAAAATAAACAATTATGATCAGATTAAAGATGGAGCTGCATAGTAATCTCAATTTTCTTTGTGTGTGTGTGTGTGTGTGTGTGTGTGTGTGTGTGTGTGTGTGTGTGTGTGTGTGTGTGTGTGTGTGTGTGTGTGTCCCTGTATTTATAGAAATTATTAGGCTAGACCTGTTTGCTGGTGAAGCCTTAAGAAAATTTCTAAATTGCACTTTGTAAATATAAAAGCTGGCCTTCCCTGCTGCTTTAGATGTTATCTGAAGCTGCAGAGATGTAACTGAAACATAAACTGGAGCAGTCCGTTGTAGGCTACATAAATACGGATGATGCTGATGCTTGTCAAAGTCTGTGCCAGTTCTAAAGTATACAAATCCTGCCAGGTCCATAACTTCCTAAACAGATCTGGAATGCCATACGCACCAAAGATGTGACTGTAAACTTTTCTGTACTTTATTTGAAACTAAACCAGCGGGATGAAGGATAGCTCCGTTGCTCCACCTGTAATTAGGAGGTTTGGTGACTGACCAGAGGAAGAGGACACATTTGTTTCCTGTTTGAATCCCCAAAATAGTCTGAATAAATTACTAGGGTGATCCTTCCACACTGCTGTGTGGTGTCTCCTGACCTGTCAAAGGGCAAGCTGAGTGCAGCTTCAGAATTACCTGCAAATCACACCTTAAACACAAGACTGAAATAAGTGAAAATAAAATGTGCACCTTCTTAGTTTTTGTTGGGGATAACAGAAATGAAACTTAGAATAAATGTAGACTGTGCGTTAGGTGACATGTCCTATAGTATTGTGTTGGGACGCTTTATCACAGTTACTTTAAATGTAATTTTAATAGAGTCCAATGAGGCTGTTACGTTGTGCGTTAGGCCACGCTGATTGGTGACCTTTGAATTTAAATCTCTGCACATGAATAAAACTCGCTCTGGAGGATAAAGTAGCTCAGGTTATATATTCAGAAATAAAATTGACCATTTCAGTAAAAATATACATATTTCTCACTGTGTGACTACGGCGCGCGACACACCTCCCTGCCCACCGGTGCTCTTGTCGTTTTTCTCACATCTTTTTATTCCAACAAAGCTAAAAACAGCCCGTTTTATTTACAGCCGGCCGTTTAATTCCGTCCTGAATCCCGTTTTTTAGAGACCGCCAGGACCCAGGAGAGCGTCATGTTGTTGTGACCCACATCCATCCCAGGCTGAGCGGACGCGGTGATGAACGTCAGAACCGTCACCGGGTCAGCTAAACCCAGAGAATAAAACACCCGAATAGATTATTGTACCGGTTTTACAATGAAATCCACGCGCTTTGTCTCGCACCGGTGTGAGGATGCGTCTGACCGGGATGGAGACACAAGCTTACCTTCCACAGCTATTACGGCCGGTATGGTCCATAATATCCATAGAATATCCATTATTGGTGCTTCAGAGTCCCAGACACTCAGATAAAACAGGTCCCGAGAGCCATTGGCAGCAGCAGCAAAGAGGGGACTGGCGGTCCTTCTCCTCCTATGCAGCGCTCCCGGATAGCACAGCTAACGAACTCAAATCTGAACCAAGTTTGGACGAAACCAAGAGGGCTCAGACGGGGGGGAGGACCGGGGAGACCGGCAGGACAGCTCCGTTATTCACCGCAGTTACATCCGCCTGTCTCACTTAAAACAGACACAACACAACTGTATGTAGGTTACAGATAAACAAAGGCTCTTAAATGTTTACACCGGCAGCGGAGCGGTGCGTTTAGAGCCACGTCCATCCCCTCAAATCCGCTTTAATTGACCCCGCTGTCAATCATCGACGGACGCACGCGCCGCAGCGCCTCTCCTAGTCTCGATTAAGCGTTGAGGGAGCGCGTATAAAAGATGGAGCGTCTTATTCTCAGTCCCACTCTGCTCTAAATGGATTTACGGCCCTTTTTATCTATTTGTTACAACTTCACACGTTTAATCTGTTTACTGAGAAGCTGCAGCGGGTCGTCGCTGGTTAACAGGTGAGCAGATCCAGAGAAGCTAAAGTAAGTTTGATGGTTTCCTTTCGGTGTTTGGACTCCAACATTTACCATCTATTAGTTCACATTCACAGATTAACTCTAAATTAACCCCTCTTTCTGCTTTTCAAGAGAATATTCTAGTTTAGTTACGTATTTATTTTTAATTTATTTATTGGCTCAAGACCTAGCTGGGTACTCATGTATAGAAGGTCGTTTATAATATGCTTACTGTTTAGCTGCCTGAGCAGATAGATAGATAGAGATAGAGATAGAGATAGATAGATAGATAGATAGATAGATAGATAGATAGATAGATAGATAGATAGATAGATAGATAGATAGATAGATAGATAGATAGATAGATAGATAACTACTGTCCCTTTTGCAATTGCAATGTGATGATTATATTATTGATTTTGTCATTATTAATTATCATAATTACAGAAAACGTTTTACAAACATTACCTTATATTTTACAAGCACGTAGTCTAGAGATTTTTCAAGAGTTCAAAGGATAAATTAGAAATTTGTGAATATTTAATATTCTTGTATTATTGCACGTCATTTACTGGACTTCATTAGCATCCTTCCTGGGGTGCTAAGTGTCACTTTTAAAGTTTGATTAAATCATTTACACCTGAAACTTAAACTGTATGTTTCATGAACAAACTAGAAGGAATCATGTAATTTAACATGACTCATAATCAGTGAGTGGAGCTTAACAGGAGTTTGTTTTTTATTTCAGCCACAAAGAGTCCCAGAAAGTAAATTGGAGCTAAAAGCTAAACCCCTCTAACGAAAGTATCATCATATAAAGTTTTATGTTTTGGTTTAATCTTTTAGTCATAAATTTACAGAAATAGATTTTAGTCTATTTGGCTTTTTGTTGAACTCTAATAAAATGCATTTAGCTTTTATGCATTTTTTACCTTTTCAATAATTCATTTTAATCATCTTTGGCTTTATCTGAGCATCCTTTAAGTTGAAGAAGTCATTTCTTATTTTCACATTATAAAATAATTCACAGTGTCATTTACAGCGTAATTGTTTACACATCGTGAAACCCAAAGAGAATCTCTGATTTGAAACAGAAATTCACTCTGCTGAACAAAGTCAGGTTGTGAAGAAGAAAGAAGACCTGAAAACAAAAGCTGGCTCAAATACAGCAACCCAATGTGTGCAAGAAGAGAGATGCCTGCTGGACATGAAGTATAGAGTTACCGAGGCTGACTAAAAAATAGAGATTTGCCATCAAACATGCCTTTGGTTTTACAGGCCGAAGCACTGCAGCTGCACAGCAGACCTCTCATTGGTTAAATGAACCAGGCTGATTTATTTGCCTCCACTGGACTGGACTGTATTGATTCCAGGTCACTTGACTGGCTGGCTTCAGATCATGTTCAGGTGACTTCTGAACAGATGGAACAAAATGGCAAGGCACTGAGAAAGCTGCTTCACTCACTTTAATGAGTCCCATACAAGCTCAGTATTGACTTGAGTCAGAAGTAAAATGAAAGATGTTGGAAAAATATTATATTAATACTTCTTAAGTTTTGCCGGCAGAGAGATTTCTGCCACGCTGTGCTGCCATGTCTTCTCAGACTGCAATGCAATGGTTCAAATGCAAAGCAGGAGCTTCTAAATATGCCAGAAATCCTCTCATGTTCCCCTGCAAGCCTGTAATCCAGTAAAAGCAAGGCATGCACGCCGCTAATGTCCCGTAACTCAGCAGCTTTAAAGGCCAACAGACTACCGCCATAAACAAAAACACACGGCAGAATCGACGCTACAGATTACCAGCAAATTATGTTCCAGTCATGTAAAAGGTGCACAAAGTAGATTTTCTCCGAACGGTCAGCTGAGTAGAATAACCGGTGTGTAAAGCCGTGAGAGCAGACTTTATCAACAAAGAAACAAGGACAAAAAAATTAAGAAAAAGAAAATGAAATAAATAAAGAAATTAGAAAAAAAATATTAAAGCAAAAATGCCTAAAAATGTTCATATAAATATTTTAAAAGTTTCTTTTTACATTAAGAAATGGTAAAATTATAACTTTGATAATTTACCATACTAAAAATTCAGATGAATTGTATTTAGGAATAAATGCATTTTAAATTATGAGGGAAAATAACCATAATTATGATTTAAAAAAACACGCTGCACATTTTTTACGCAAAATAAACATTGTTCAAAAATTCTTAAAATTAAGCATCTATACTTGTGTTTAAAGGTGCATTTCTACATTCTTCAGTACAATTTAAGCGATTTTGGAATATTTGTATTTGTGTTATTATATCAGTTAATTAAACTCCATTAGGTGTGTGTGTGTGTGTGTGTGTGTGTGTGTGTGTGTGTGTGTGTGTGTGTGTGTGTGTGTGTGTGTGTGTGTGTGTGTGTGTGTGTGTGTGTGTGTGTATTAGGCAAATTACAATGAAAGTGTGTGCATTTCTGAGATGAGATCTCACAATTAGGAACTAAAGTCTGCGAAAAGATCAAATTAAAATAGAATAGTAAATAATCTAAAATGCAATGCTTTTAAAATATATATATAAACAAATAATAAAACTCGTGTTGTTGGGGGGGGGAGTCCTAGACTGTTTTAAAGTTGTAATTAAACAACAAAATTTACTCAGTCTGTTAAAACTGAACAATAAACATATAACAAAACAAGATGAAACATATAAACAACAATTTGAAGAATAAACACATGAACTTGGGATTATTGTGTTTTCTATGAAACTGTGATTGCATCGACACTGCCCTCCAGAGGCTGGACAGCGTGAAAAGGATGGAGAGTTTATATACTTTCCTATTTTTTCTTTCTGTCTCTAGAAAATGATGTGATTCTGTTGTGAATGAGTTTCCTACTTTTTTAACGTGTTAAATTCAAATAAAAGTTAGATGAAAAGAGATTACCAAGGATCGTTTTCTTTAGGGGGGAAAAAAAGGAAATAAATGTGTTTATTAGTTACCTGGGTGTGTCTTTTAATACGCTGGGTTTTCATGGATTAAGTAGTCGTTAAAAAGGAATTGTGTCCGTGTCGGATATTTAGCCCAAAGTTACGCATTAAGTTCATTTGGGAGAATAAACGCTGAGTATCAGTTATTAAACAAGCTTTTCATTCCTGGTGCATTCCTGAGGAGATTCCCAATGACCTGTGGAGGTTTAGACTCTAAAGAGATTCTGATGATTCATCATCACTGAAGACAGAAAATAAAAGGATCTTCTACAGATGGTCCTACCGCCGGTGCTGCAGAAAAGTCTTTTTTTGTGGATGAACCTTCGCTCAAACCACATCCTCAGAATAAAGTTCAGATCTCGGTAAAAGTCCTGATCGATAATTTTCTTCAGGATCTGGATTTTTTTAATCTGCTCATTTCAACATCAAGGCAGATTTTTGTGCCTAAAACTGGTTATTCCTGCTTCCCAACGGGAGATGGAGTACGTCTGAAACCAAAGAGGGATGGGCCCACCGCTCATGAAAACCTTTCCTCACCACACTGCGCTCCACCCGGCCACCCCACCTTCCCAGCACACTGGTTTGCCCTTGCCAAAACTTTAATTTAATCCCACTAAATTGCTTGAGCTTTAATTAAAAAGACCATAGATCTTGGCAGGATTTAATTTCCTTTCTTGTTAAGAGAAGTTCTCAGAGATTGTAGATTCTTTACTAGTAAACTGTTGGGAGTCCTACAGGAGCTCTAACTCTTGACTTGTTTGGTTTTCTTCAACCAAACTAAACAAGTAGACCGTGCTTTCTTCAGCTTATGAGCCACTGGAGCACAGTAATGTTTTAAATGCCCGTCACAGGGCAGACAACGCTTTTTACCATCTTAATAAATCTAAGCACTGCTGCTATTAAAGACATTTCCAGTAAAATATCCTTCAGCTGACAGTCATGATGGAATAAATGCCTTGATTAAATGGCGGACATTAATCATGGCTTTTGGTTGTGAACGCTGTCGCGTCTCGTCTGAATTATATGAACCGATCACATAAATCTGCTGCTGTTTTGATGACACAGCATGTTGTTGATGTGGTTTGCATCTCCAGACCAGAGGAATCTTTTTTCAGGAACACAAATCAAGCCGTAGCCAACGAGTGCTGCAGTCTTCATCTGATGATGATGATTGTGATGATGGTGGTGATGATGATAGTGTTGTCGTTTGAGCAGACTGAAAAACTGACATTAAAAGTTAGAAATGATGCCGTTAAAAAAGAAATTTCATAAAAGCAACAAACTATCACCGGTCCTATGATGTTTTTGCTCTAAAGACCTTTTTTTTCTCCTCTTGGCCCTCATTTACCAAACGTTCATATTGTCCGTCCTACATTCTGTTCTACGAAGGAAAACTACGATGGTCATATGAACGGCCAAAATCTGGATTTATAAACCACGCAGTGGCCACGACTGTACGACTGTTGATAAATCCCACGTGTGCATACCCAGGTGCTTGTGGCCATTCAGTAACTCGCATACAGAAACACTCTCAAGTAACCATATTTGAAAACGCCACATCCCAAAGGCAGGAATGAAGTTCCTGCATTCCTTCAAAATAAGAAAACTAACAGCGAGATATTTAGGAACATTTCTACGGACACGTACAAAATATGTCAAATAATTCCTATGCACCAAATAGATCTGTGCATAAGAATGGTTGATAAATAAGGGTCCTGGTGGCAAATCTTTTTTTTTATATTGTTTTTACCCCAAGATTCATCAGTTAAATTTGATTAACTGCACATAAAACAAGCAATGTTTAAGCACTTCTTTACATATGGAACAACCTAATCAATCATTATATCAGTTTCATAGAGGCCTGTATGGTGAAGCTCAATTGGAATATGGTGCAAAAGTTATTCTATTTATTCCAGTAATTCAACCCAAAAGGAGAAACTGATATACCAGATAAGATCCATTACATGCACAGGGTTCATGAACATTTAAATGGTCTTTCAGTTGAAGTTAAATTACTGGAATAAACAGGGTTTTGCAACATATTCTGATTTTCACCCGTACAGAATTCAGCTTCATTCTTCTGCAAAACATGTTTGTGTCTCTGGTTGTGAGTGAATTACGGAGATGGAGACGAGAAACAAGCGAGGGCCGTTCATAGGGAGTCATAAAAAGAGCTGAATGAGGCGTTGTTCGCCGTAACAAAACACAGCAAATGTTCTGTTTGCAATGAAAATGAAAATCATTATTTGCTTTTGGCTCATTATGACCATATGAATTAGACTGAGTAGTTTGTGGTGAAACTGAGTAGATATTATGAAATAAATAATTGTAATTTAACCATCTTTTAAAGTGCAAAACACATAATATGAGCACCAGCATCAGATGCATAAAAACACTGAGCGTTGGTCTTTTTTTAGAAGGAAGTACCAAACATGATGCTCCCTCCTTATCTCCTCCTCTCCTCTCTTCACTTAGATTGTCGACCATCACAAAGCAACAGATGGAGGTGCACAACAGGATATTACCACTAAGAGGATTCCCGTTTCTTTGCATGTCACAATGGACTTTTTGCAGGGACAGAGTCTTTCATCACGACCCAGCTCCACAGGCTTACTGGAACTGATGCAGAGTTGTCGGTTAAGCTCTGGGAAACCTACCGTGCTGCTCGCTGACCTCCTTGGCAAACAGACAACCCCGGTGGAGTTTGTTGGGAATAACATTAAATGGATTCACTAGGTGGGATTAGAAAGTCCCACTAGTACCTTTTAGGTCTTTAACCCTGGACTTTCACTCGGCGCTCTGAGGTACGGGCCAGGCTGAGTCGAGCGTGTGCTCGCCACAGCAGCAGGCTGTTAAAACGATGATGCGGTGATTAAATTATAATAAAGCGTTAAAATGCAAAAACATTTTACTGTGACCTAAATCACCACAATTAAATTTTACTTTAAAAATCTAACAAAGATCTAATTAGGCTTTGTTCACTGTTAGGGAAAAATACCAGTTTCTTGTTTTTCATTCAGTTTTACCCAGCGCTCACTGAGAGCCGTTTCTAGCCTCACTACAGAAGCAGCAGCCATGTAAACCACCTAGAAACTACTTTATTATTAGCTAAGTCATAAATCTCAAAAGTGTGGTTAAAAATCCACGTGGAAACAGGAGGAACTGGTGTTTTTGTTGGGAAAAGAATCCGTGTTGGGGAGAAACACAAATCAGCATCCCTTTAAAGCAGCAGTGTGTAGTTTCCTGGCACTGGGGGGCAGTACTCACACTTCAGGGTAGTTGTACACCATATCGCCGGGACCATGGTACCTGTGGAGCAGAAAGCATGCAACCCCGTCTTGACTCCTCAGACTTTGATGGTCCTTCAGTTAATCCAATGAGAGAATGCAATGCTGGTTGTAGTTTCCGTGGTTTTCTACCAGGCGCGTTGCAAGCTTTTCAAAAGTGTGAGTGCTGAAACCCCCACGGGTGCAACGCCCATGTTTTCTACCCTTTCTCAGTTTTACTTTATTGTATATTTTAAATTTCCAGTTTATAAGTAAAAATGTAAGGGTGTTTTTACCCAAAGATGAGCCTTCACTAGTGGACTTAAAGGTTTTTCACAATTCAGTAAAAGCCAAGTAGTACGTTCTATTTGATGATTTCATGGTGTGCAGAAGCTGTTAGGGAAAATGAGGGCTTTGTTTTTTCTCTGAGGAGACTTCACCTCCTTTGTGGTATTATTTAAACTCAACCTTGAGAGGAAGCAGGTCAGAAACTGTGAATCTCCAAAGGGAACCTGTATATTCTCCTGTGTGCAACATGGGTTGTCTCAGCCCTTAAGAGTTGTTCTTTTCTCTGTAAGTTTAAGAAATTGGTTTATTTTTCACAGAGACCACTCAGCGGACCTCTTCTTTTCATAACACTTAAACATTTCACACATTTAACCCGCTGATTAATGGAGCACAGAAGTACTTTCCTGTGTGTGAGTTAGCAGCTCTGATGGAAGAAAATCTGATGGTTTTACAAGCTGTTATACGCTTCATGCTTTACTCATATGGTCACCCTGTGCTGAGGTTTGCCTGGTGCAACTTCAAAAGTGAAGTCAGCATTCACCCTGCAGATAATCGTGTTGAACTCAGCCATGAAGCTGTATTCAGTCAGACATGAGGTTTTACCATGAAGACACGGTAACTTTCCAAACCAAATAGCTTGTGGCAACGATTCTTCTTGAACACATTTATCAGCACAAACCAGATTTGGTCTGTCGACTTAAGAAATCCTCCAACATTTAGCCGGGTTGACTCACCGGGCATAAAAAGTTAGGTATTAAAAATGTTGTGCAAAGATGAAACAAGTCTGGCGACTTGAAGTGAATGTCTTTGTTGACGTGTGGTTAGCGAAATTACGTTTTGTGTTTGCGTTCGTGTAAGCGTTAACGTGCATGTAAACGCCAATGCAAATGAACGTCTGCGTGGCGAGAGGAAGCAGGCGGAACCACAACCGTAGAACAGAGCAGGGAAATAGAGCAGAAGAGCACACGCCCGCATAAAAGAAACGTTGAATAATTCTGCCTTGAGACGTGTGAGGGCTGTAAAGAGCAGGGGAAAGCATCCAGAGGTCGTTCCCATGGCAACCTGGGCCCAGGGAGATCACTGACCCTCCCGCCACGCAGTACAAGCAGGGCACAGATTGTAGGTCACATATGGCACCAGCGATCCAATCAAACCTAATCTGGCTTGACTTGTGAGTTATAAATTATACTGGAAAGCTGGTTTACACTCTGGCTTAGCTCATCAGCAGGCTCATGTGTGAAGATGTCTGTGTTAATGGCAAACTGATGCACTGACCCAATAAATGTGTGTCAACCAATGTAAGTTTAGTCGTCTGGTTGTTTGGGAAAACAAGCAAACATTGTGGTGAATTGGCCGTCACGTAGGTATGAATGGGCAAACGCGTGTGGTCGATTATAACCTATCCGTCACATCGGTCCTCCTGGTAACAAAGTATTATTAGTTAGTTAAAACGCTGTTTTCATGCTTTCCTGTTGGGGTTTTGTTTTTGTATTCTTGTGTAATTGTTAAAGTTTTGCATGTTGAATATTCAGTTTCAGTGGAACTATTTCATTTAAGTAATAATGTTATCCTGAAGTCCAGAATGTGGTGTGATCATTACCAGTTTACTGTGGGGGGTGTAATTGTTTATGTGAACAGTGAATGTAATCATCTCAGAACCATAAATGTATGTGTGGTGTGTGTACATAGCTGTTTTTGAATTAAAATTGTATCATCATTTAGTCAAACTACACTTTTTATCCCAAATTTATCTGCGTTGTGTATTAGTTGTCTCTCTACCATTCAGTTGCATCGTGTGTCATGTTTTTATGTAAATGTACATTTGTTCACACAATATTTTCTATTTGATTAGCCAACTAATTTTTTTTTTATTTTTTTTTTAATCTATTATATTTGCATCTTTGTTTCCAGGAGGACCCATTTGTAAATGAGATGCTTCATCTCAAGTGTTTTTTTTTATCCTCCTTAAATTTAAGTCAATAAATAAATAAATAACGTAAATTCAACTTTACTAATTTAATTCCTTACAAAATCTGCTGATTGTAGAAGCATTAATGTCAGTATATCGGCATCGGCAAATATCGGTTTATCAGCTATAACAGTGATCTTAATATCGGATATCGGTATTGGCCCCAAAATTTCATATCGGTGCATCGCTAATCAATAGCTTTATAGATATAGATAGAGAGTTTACTTCCTTCTCAGTGGCCTAGTGGCAGTGTCTGCCCTGGGACTGGGAGATTAGGGTTCAAATCCCAGTTGGGCACACCAAAGACTTTATAAAACTGGGATCCCTGTTTGACACTCAGCTATGAGAGTTTGAATTGGGGGTGTTAAACCACCAAATAGTTCCTGAGCTGCCGCTGACCGCCCCCCAGGGGATGGGTCAGATGTGTAGATGACTTTCACCGGTGTGTGACGACTAACGGGGCTTTCACTAAAATATCTATAGATATATGGAGATAGATAAAGAGTGGGTTTCCAGTTCTCAGTGGATTTTTCACAATATTATATATATATATATATATATATATATATATATATATTTTTTTTTTTTTTTAATATTTTAAACCAGTTCTTTGTTCACTCCAGTCAGACGGATTTGTCCATTAATTCCTGTATTTGTCCCTGTGGTGTGTAAAGAGGGTTAGGATAAAAGGCAAATTTAGATTTTTGAAAGTCAAAATATACTTTTTACCATATTTTTGTAATTATTTTGAGTTAAATTACATTTTAAAAAATTGTAACCAAAGTATGAAATTGTTTCAAATAAAATGATTTTTCTTCTTGTGTGTTTGCTTAAGTGGTTATTTGTTTGTCCTTACGCACAACAATAAATTAAACATTCAAGTTAAACCTTATTTTAACTGATCAAACACATGAAAAAGGTCATTGATTGAATTTATAGCAAGATTATTAACCCCCCCCCCCACCACCACCACCACCACCACCACCACCACCCCCACCCCCTCCAGAAAAAAAAATAAAAAATGGTGTGGCACTTTTAAATATATTTTTAAAATGATGATATTATAACATCATGATGGCTTTGGTTGATAAATATTTATTCTAAATTATTATGATAATTATAGTGTATTTATCGCCATTTCTTTTTTAATAAAATTGGAAAACTTCAAGCAAATGTTTTGGTATTTAGTTTAAAAAAATGTGGTACAGGTTAAAAATCTTCCAACATGGATGGTATGCATATTTCCAAACTCATGCAAAGTTACTGGTGCAAAAAATTCTATGGAGGCGCCCTAAGGAGGTGTGAGACTTGGAGAGCTGCCGGCGCTGCAGAAACACCGATATGAAGGATTTATGCAGCTGGAGGATCGGGACACCAGAGCAGATCTGAAATAAGTTGGTTAGAAACAAGAGACTCAGCCTAGAGATGTACCGGAACACCAGGACAATTAATCCGACCCTTCTCCAGATGAGGATGAAAATCCATTGACATCCTCAACATTCACTCATGCAGTCATAAAAGTGACATTTGTTTTCAGAATATTTTTCATGGTGCTGAAAAATACTTGTGATGCACTGCCAGTGTCTGAAATGATCATAATTCAGGTGTTTTGCAGCTGAAGTTGCATAATAAAAACTCTGATCTGTGTTTAATAAATGCTGATGGAAAAATGGAAGTGTCTTAGAAAAGCTTTTGTATTGAGTAATAAATATTTCAAATGTGTGAATTATGTTAGTTTTGGACGTCGGTTGGAAAACTGATGCAGTTCGTGTTTTTTCTCTTCAGACGTGTATTTATAATAAAAAAAACAAGGATGTGCATTTAGCAGGTTTTTTAGGGTGAGATGCATCGCTGTGAGCGAAGGGCACCCTGAGCCTGATGGAAAATGGCTCCTGATCGCCGCCTCTCCCCGCTCCATCACCACCCCGTGGTTCCTGATTTCATGAGTGAGCTGGTAATAATCATGGGTGACTGGATTTTCACCTTTTTGATGAGATCTATAAGTGAGGGCACATATGGGAATGCTTGAAGTTTGCAGCCGAGGAAGTCTTTGCATCTGCTTCTCATTCCTTGTACCTGCATGTGATATTCTTCCAAGCTGAGGGACTTATAGTAGGCAGTGATGTTGTAACCATTTTTCTAATTTTAAATTATGGGATAGGAAAAGCTGGTTCGCCCTTAAAAGTAAAAATAGATTTTTCACATAATGTTTAAGGAAAGTAAACGCAGCATTAATAACACTGAAGAAAACTTGGTTTTCACTTAAAGATCTTGAGGACCGTAAACTAACATCATATTAAATGTGAGTGATCAAATGTAGTTTGGTGTCTCGGAGTGATTTGAAAAAGTCTTTGAGGCAAAGTGGTGACGCTGGCTGGGCCTTCTGTTCTGATCGTGTTTCCGAGCTGAAGCAGCGATCGCCAGTCTGGACGTCTGCCTACGCCGCTGTGAGTCACGCCTCATCCAGTCTGGGTCAGCACAGAAAAAAGAAAACATCAATTTCTTTTCGCTCAAAGTCTTCCTCCATGGTTTCAGTTTGCTCCATGAGAATATGTTGCTGTTGACTCACAATAAACGTTTAGCTCAATGAGTTAACGGTAAATAAGGACTAGCAAGCAACTTAAATGGGCTCATTTTGATTTTTTAGACATTCAATATTTATTTAAATTTATTTAGAAATGTAGTTTTTTGGCTAACTTGTACTTATACCACTATTCCCTGAAAGCTGCATCTTCAACCCATTTGCTCATTTAATATGCCAATAACAAAATGTATCTAATTAAGAATTATACACTTAAATAAATAAATTATAAATGTACTTGGGATTTCTTGTCTTTCTTTCATACTTTACCTATAGTGTGGCACACTGAAAAACTGCTTTTTAATGAGCATTTAATGCAGGCTGAACATGAAATAGTCTCCTACACCTATCTCCGGCATTTGCTTCTGATAGAGACGGTGAAACTCTAGGATTAGAAAATCCTCACAGATCTACGTCACACTGTCACTAACATTCATGGACTCATCCATCTGGACTCACGACGAGGAAGGCTGTTGTTGGTTTAGCATCCAGGAAACAGCAGAGAACGTCTCAGCTAGTAGAAGCTAACTGTTAGCATTAGCAACAATTAGCAAGGCTTGTGTTATTTGTGTAGGTAAAACATCAGTGTTGTAGAGCAAATGGAATCTGTGATAGAGTCGCGTTGCTATTAGCCAGTCAGAGGCCAGATGTCCAAATATCAGGAAATAAGTGTCCAAATCCTGTCGTCTGAAGCTACGTTGTCCTCCAGCTGACTTCTCTGTGCTGATACAGGTGCCTCTGGGCTCCTCCCCCTCGAGTATGACCTACAAGGCATTCCTTCCTACTAGAGACCACTGGCGGATTAAACGAGTGTTCCACACCTTTAAAAAAAACTTTAAAAAACACAAATCATAAACAATTAAAATACATTTAATAACAGACATTTTGGAAATGTTCTGATAAATAAAAAAATCTATTAAAATAGTAATTAGAAACAATTACAGGCTAATTAAGACAATCAGAAAACATAAAAATCCCACTGAGGATCCACTCTGATCGGTGGTTTGATCTGGAGTCAGGAAATGAATTCCCACATAAATGAATGAATGTTAAAGATTTGACAGTCACACAATATTGTACACGTTGTTCAGATTCACCCTACTTTTTTGCATGCGAGCTATCAACACGCTTCTTGCCAGGTTGCAGATCAATAGCTGATTTTAATCTGTGCTATAACAGATTAAAAAAGAGAGCTTTGTGGCATTAACCTTAAGAACCGTCGCTGTCAGGTTCTGTCACATAAAATCAACCCAGGCGGCTTCTCGTTCTGATGCCGGCCCTCTGAACTCTGCAGCTGTATCTTTAAAATGTCCTCAAGGTTCAGCGAGCCTGATGGAACGTTGTGGTACAGTCAAGTGCATCCAGCGTGAGTGATGGAGGCTTTTCTTGCAGGGTTCTACCTTTCAGATGGCTTGTTTTAGGAAAGCCGTCTACAAGCCTGGATGCATGTATGATGATAGGGATGATGGGGAAGAGGAAGTAAAGGTGGCAAGAGCAGAGCTCTGACACTAATGCCATTTGAAAATGTCTGTAACGCCTTGTTTCTAGATTGGAAAAATTGACCTTCCTCATGAAGGTGATACAAGCCTTCACTTCGAGATGTTTCACAAGCTAAGTGGAGGAGGTTTGGGAGCAGGCTGCGGCTCAGCCCGAAGGCCGAGCAAATATTTCATGAGTAATTTAATATCTGGAACATGAAAGCGTGCTCCGCGCGAGTTCCTGGCCCGAATATAGACAGTGGTCTGGTAGCAAGGAGGGGGAGAAAAGAGTCAAAAGGGCAGATAAAGGAGTAGTTAATGCTGAGCATCAACTTTCTTCCAAGGCTGCTAAAAAGTGCAGAAGTTAGAAATAATCGCTATTGCTTCAGTCTCCACAACACATCTCTTTAAGCTACCTTCATAAATTAGCTCACTATTTTTAGAGTTGGAGAATTTTTTAGCATGTCGTGCAAAATTCACCTTTTGCCTCTTTAAACACTCCAGACATGAAAACACACAGCTCAAAGCTGAATTATTTTATTTCTCTATCTATGT